TCTTTTTTTTTTTTTTTTTTTTTACATTGACATTTAAATCAAATCATGGTATTTAGCCAAGGGTGAGTCCACCCAGTGTCTTCTAGCTTTTTAAATTCGAACATGCCAAAATTCTTTGTGCTTCATTGTGCAGTTGCAGTTTAATGCTGCACCACACTTAGATAGCCTATTACCGGGATGAATGGGAGCAAATATAAGCTCCAGATATAATGAATAGATCGGGGACAAGTGTACCTAAAAATAAAATGTCTTCTTTGTAGTATTTACGAATAGGTTTGTTACCTTGCTGGATGTTAAAAAAAAAGGAGGCGTGGGTTTAAGTGTGAACCTCGTAATCAGATATTTAGCTAGTATCATGCCTGTAGAGAATACATATTTTGGCATGCATGGAATGTTTCGTTTTTTATAGACAAGGGTTTTATTTTTATTTCTTGGCGTTTTCTAGTAAGTAAAAGTCGTGTTTATAAGTGTTTTCTTATACATTAATAATGTATTTCACAGCATGCAGGATTGTAATATTCAGTAAGCCTCCTTAGCAATATACTTGTTATATGTCTAGTTTACAGATTTAGCGTCTTGTGTTTAAGCCTTATCTCCATGAAAGTCTAATGATATGCTATAGAATAAAAAAATGACTTAATTCTGTATAAAAGCTCATGAAGAAAATGCCCCTTCATGGCAGAAAATGCCTTTTTCACTATTGCCACAAAAACACCTTTGTACAGCTTAGATTTTATGTTTAGAAAATGTTTTGTGCAATATGGGAATAACATAAAACATAAACACATGGGTTATAGACAAGTATTAAGGAATGCACTGGACAGCTGTTAAAAAAAACACTTCCTACCCTAGCAAATTTCCCTGTGTCTTTTATGTTCCATTTAGACAAAGTAAATGAAGCACTGGAGATTTTCTTGATATTGCCTTGTGCTGCCTCCCAAATCGGTAGCACTCTAAAGGTGGCCATACACTGTACGATTCTCGTACGAGAATCGCGGGAAATCCCGCGATCGTACGAGAATCATACAGTGTATGGAAGGCATGCGACCGTTTCTACTGTACGGTCGCACGTCTTCCATCGAACAAGCAGGCTGGAAAACCCGCCGGGAATCGTACGATTCTCGGCGAGCGAGTGGCCTGCTTGTTCGACAGCTGACGAACGGGCCGGTGTGCGCACGCGCACACTGCCCGTTTGCAGTGCTTGCAAGCCCGCCCCTCATTGCAGTCATCGCAAGCCCGCCCCTCGAGGGGGCGGGCTTGCGATGATCGCAAGTACGATCTGCCTGTCCAAGATGGGCAGATCGTACGTTTTTTTAAGTACTTTACAACCATCGCAAGACTAAGGTCTTGCGATGGTTGTAAAGTGTATGGCCACCTTTAGATTCCTTCACCTCAACCTTGTACAAACTGTTAGTGCTGGTTGGTTTAGACCCAATGGAATCCAGGGGCCTTAGAGATCACCACCCCCTGGTCAGGTGCCAACATCTTCAGTAAATCACAACATCCTGGTGTGATGTGTGCAAAAACTTATAGTAACTCATTTTGCATTGGTTAAAAAAAAAAAAAAAAACGAAGCTCAGGTGCCAATCGGACCTTATTCTAAGAGTGATCAACCTCCTTTATTTGCATGTAGCAAGTGGGCATTTAAAGAGGAACTCCAGTTGTAAAAATGAACCCTTGCAGTAGGTCTACCCCAGCACTGCAAGGGTTAACTGCTTATTTTTCTGTAAGGGCAGGAATAAAGAAAACATACTCACCTGAACCTCGGTCCTGTAATGGTCAGCGCTTACTTCTCTTTTCTGCTCCGGTTGTGGGATGTCACTCAGCATCCTCACGCCTAATGTGACGGAGCCCGGGGGGAGAAGAGGCTGCAGGTACGGTCTAGCAGCCAGGTGGGACCGAGGATCAGATGAGTATATGCACTGTATTTTAGCCCCATACTAAAACAAACACTTACACCCCCTCTTCAAGCAGTGCAGGGGTAGCCCCCACTGCAAGGGTTAATTCTTACAATTCCTGGAGATCCTCTGTAAATATATATATATATATCCTCAAAATAGGCCAGGCATTTATCTAAACGTGAGACTTTTTTTCTTATTTTTGCAGCCACAGAGCATGAATGATTATGATAGTTAAGTTGATGTGCTTTTTATGTGTTTAAGGAAATATTTCAGACCGACCACTGTTTTTATATGATTGAGAATACTGTAACGCTCTCGCTGTCCTTAGATTTATAAAATAAAGTGCTGTTTCTTAGAAGTGTAAATTGAACTGCATGAAGTTTGTTTTTATCCGTATCACATTTTTGTAATCTGCGAGAAAAGAGAACCTTTTCTTCGGTCTGCGTACTCTTGCTGTACATAAGTTGCCAAGCAACTACATCTGCTCTTGCGCTGAGATTGATCAGGAGAGAATTTTTTTTCTTTTTTAATGTTAAAAATTATTTGTATCTAGCAATAGCTGCAATCTAGCTGTATTCTATTTCTGCAAATGGTAGGAAATATTTGTTTGTTGTGACAACCTATGATCTGTCATCAGCATTATCTGTATATAACTCATTTTGAATATGAAAACAAACGGAAATTACTGTCAGATTTTCTACAGATTTCTAATGGCCGGTTTATGTTAGGGATGCACCAATACCTTGTTTTCTGTATCGAATACGGGAACTGATTTTTTTCTGTCGGTGCTCGCCGATACCAGTGCCGCGTGCCCCAATTATCAGGAAGCCGGGCAGCGAATCATAACCCGCTGCTCAGCTCTCAGATTGCCTGGAAAGCCAGTGTTTTATCAAAAGAACACCAGCTTCATTTGCAGAGGCTGTCTGGCTTCCTGACCAATCAGGAAGCCGGGTGGCGGGGCATGAGGTGCCGTCCGACTTCCTGATTGGCCAGGAAGCCAGCTTGTTGGTAGGTAGCCTGGCTTCCTGACCAATCAGGAAGCCGGGAGGCGGGTCATTATGTGCCGTCTGGCTTCCTGATTGGTTAGGAAGCCAGGCTGCCCAGCAACAAGTGAAGCTGGCTTCCTAGTCAATCGCATTTGGGCGAGTACGAGTATCGTTATTGGTGCATCCCTAGTTTACGTTAATGAGGTGGGTTCAGGCCTAAGGCCTTGTTCACACCAAGCAAGGAGCAGGTGCAGAGCAGCTCAGTTGCAGACTGGATCAAAACTGTGTCTAATGTATTGCAATGGTATTTTTTGCTCCAGTTCACATCGCAGCGTGCAGGTTCAGAGCAGGTGAAAAAACTGCAGCAAGCCCTATTTTACCTGCTCTGGCTCTGCTCTGGAACGCATGCAAACACATCAAAAACGCATGCAAATGCCTGGAAGCATTGAAAGCCCATGTTAACCCTTTCGCTGCCAAGGACGTACGACGTACGGAGCTACAAAAGTGCTTCCAGCTGGCCAGCTCAGTATAACAAAATTATTTTTATTTTTTTACCAAACACGACCCGGAACGCATAAAAAACGCGACACAACCCACTGCACTGCGTGTGCAGAAACCTGAGCGGATCTGCTCTGCATTTGGTGTGAACAAGGCCTAAGGGTTTCCATGACTTTTTAGTTCACCCTTCTCTAGCCAGGTGCCAACATCTGTGGTGAATGTCTTCCAGGTGTGATTATGTTCTGCCATTTATTAAAATTCAGCTGAAAAGGGGTTTTATATTCTACTGCAAGAAAGCTGGGGCTTTTACATTTTATTGTAAGAGTGATCGACTTCATTTAACTGCATGTAGTTAGTGGGTTTTAAATATGTATAACATCACACTTCAAATGAGTTTGGACATTTTCAAAGACATCTGTGAGAATATTTTTTTTAATGCAGTGTGCTTAGACTGTGGTAGGATCCTACTCTGCTCTGCAATAATCACGATAATGGTCCTTACAGCCCAGTTTGAGTCAAAATAAGAATATGGTTTAGGAAGCACTTATCAGCTAAGGGCACATTTGCTCTTGTGTAGCTGTATTATTCCACAGTACATTTGTACAGATTTATTCATGTCTAAAAAAAAACAGCTAGTTTTTTTTTTGTATTTTTTAAGCACAGAGAAAATGTAGTTATGGTAGCAGTATGTGCTCTAGAAAAAGACTACACTAGAAATAAAGTTGTATATGTATTGTTAAATCAATTGTCAATTATATGACAATACTTGTCATATAATTTAACAGACTAAAATTTGTTGACTCAGTTTTGCATATGGTTCTTTTATTGTCTCTAAGCATATTGCAGCGTAATTTTCCATCTGTTAGCTTGCTCATGTTCAATATGAAAATGTCCAAAAATACTTCTCTTCCCTAAATT